AGTAGGGGATAGGAAAGGTAGCAGAATACAACAGTCACTAATATGCCATTATGTAAAAATGTGAGTATGTAACAGAAGTGAGTCTGCATTATGTACTTGGGGAATTCAAAATCCAATTGAGTCAAATGTATGAAAGATGATATATCATGAGCTCTGTAATGTTTTGAACAATCAATTAAAAAAATGGAAAAAAAAAAACTATGGGAGCCTTATTTTTGCACCTCCTCTAATTCCTTCAATCATTGAAGTCTAAGGCATTTTGGCATCTGAATTAGGTAATGTTCTTTTCCATTCTTCAAAAATTATAAATGTAGTTGTTTATTTTTTCATTGCTATTTCAAGTTACTTTTACTTTTTATTTGCCCTCCCCACCGCCATGCTGGAGATGGACTCCAGGTCCCACATGTGCCAGGCAAGTGCTCTACCACCGAGCCTCATCCCAACCGTTTTCTTAATCACACAAGCTTGCCCTGTGCCTCTTGCCTTAAAACGCATTCTTCCTAATCCCTATAGCTAATGTTTTGTTTTGTTTTTTTCCTTGACTATAAGATTCTGAAAGAGCATTATTCATGTTATTTCAACTTCCTGACTTTCCATTCATTCCCCAGACCTTCCTCTGGATTCTGCCCCATGACAAAATCGCCCGTGCCTATATGACCAGTGACATTTGGTTCCAGGGAGTGAGGGACAGCTCTTCTGGGAAGTGTCTGGGAGTTTGAATCCTCATCTTGCTGGAATGTCCTCAGATGACAATCTAGGACACATAAAACGAGCCCAACTACAACAGTTGCCTACAGAAATGTGAGCTTCTTAAGCAATTTCCTCTCCTCCATTTCTTTCAGGCATTAATGTGAATGAGTTAAATTAATCCTCTAATCATCCCTTTTATTGTTGCTCTGTGGCTGTTTATTTAGCTGTAATATTTTTTAAAAAAAAGATGCCCCATCATCTTTTAAACCTTGTGTTGATTTTGTAATTTCAGCTATCCCAATTTTAGTTGGTGTCTTTCCTTGTCCTCAGAATATTCCTTTTTATTGTAACATATTCTTGTTTCAAAAATGCAGTATTTTCTGATAAAAGGTAATTTAATTTTTCTCCCAGTCCCTGAGTTGTATGTTTCCTACGAGTTGCTTTCTTCGAGGTGCTTGTTTTGGTCTCTGTCCACTGTGCAGAGACTTTCTGACAGTGACTCCAAGTAGCCTGTTCAGGTTCTACAGTGACATTCTAGAGCTGACCGGTACTGTGCCTGTCAATCACTTTCCACCTTCCATTCTCCCAAGATGTCAACACATGATGTCTTTTCTCAGGGGTCATTTACTTTCTCCATGAAGAGAGATTCAGACCCCTCTGGAATTTATGTACACCTGGCTGAGGACCCTCCCAGAACCGGGGAGAAGGTAACCAAGGGTCTTGTGGTTCTGAAGGTAGATGTTAATTTAATCCGCCAGCATTACCTTTACTTTCTTTTTGCCCCTAGCATTCAAGTCCAGATATTCTCTAGCTTGTTTTATCCAGAGAATGAGCCTCTAATGTCTGACAGAGGGAAAGGAGGGTGTGGGGGTGGGGTATAATCCAACTGCTCCAGTTTCAAGTTTTCCACCTCCCTCCCTCTGCTCAGCCTTGCCCCTCACCCCCACCTTTAAATCGCATGGCGCCTCCAAGCTCCAAGCCCTCAGGTTGCTTTGCTGCTCAGTTCACTGCACTCTCAGGTCGGCTGCCTCCAAGAAGCCGCTGTCTTTTCCCCTTGTGCATCTTTCACACACTTGCTAGGGATTTAGGAAGAAGTACCAAATGAAGCATTTCCAGTCCACCATATTTGACGTTCACTGATGTTCATATTTTGGGAATTTTCTTTTTCCAGTACTGGGCACTGAACCCAGGACTACATACAAGTCCTCCCACTGAACCACAGCTGCAGTGTGACTCTCCAGAAGAGTTTGATTCTCAGAATTGCATTTCAGTCAAGTTATAAAGTAGAAATTCTGCATTTTTTTATTACATCCAACCCTCTGAGAGTGAATGTGAAGGTAAGGGGTTTTGTTATTAATGTAGAGTCTCCTTCTGAATAGCATTTATCCTGTGAAACATGAATGACTCATGTGAATTCTCATATTACATGGAAAACATACTAAAACATTATATACTTTTTCAGACTTCTCCAGGAACATTATTTCTGGTCTCAGATGTTTTTGCCTGTAAATTGCCCTAACCTTTCTAGTGTCTTTGTGGATAATATTGGCATTGTATCTTCAGGAAGATAATGATGCTAACACTCATGTACTAGGAACTCTTTAGCAGGGCTTGTAGAGAGCCTTCTCTTTACATCTCTCATGTTGTCTACTCTCTACATGTTTGTGTCCAAACTTCATTTTTTTAACAAAGACACTAGTCACATTGGATTAGTGCATTCCCTAATGAAATCACTTTAACTTGCTCACTTTATCAAGACTCCAAATAAGAACACATTCTCAGGTACTAGAGGTTACTACTTGAACTCATGAATTTTGGGGAGACCCTAAGCTGGTCATACTAAAAAACAAAGCCAGGAAGAAGACAGTTTGTGCATAGGTCCCGAGATTACACATGCTCAGAGCTAAGGAAGTTAACATCAAGGGGCTGACAGCAAGAGTCAAGTCACATCCAGCCTTCTAGTCCATAAAAGGAGACTGGAGGTTTTATGTAGGGCAAAGACACCATCTCACTCTTTTCTGGGTGGAGATGTACAGAGAAAAGTGATAGTGGAACGATCTGGTGGAGGCTACTGCAGAAGGACAATTGAGAAATAAAAGGTAGGGTTGTTTGAACCAGAGTTTAAGGGGAGAGAGAAGTGTGATGGATGGCAGATGTAAATTAGCAGGTCTGAGGACTGGAGGTAGTTAGGTTGGGAAAAGGGTGAAGGATAGCTTCTAGGTTCTGAATAGTGAAACTAGATAAACTGTTACTGGTAAAAGGGAAGCTCTGGGTTTAGGCTTTGACGACAGCATGGTCAAGGTAACCATTTTTGACCATGTTCTGAGACGTGTTAAGGCGTCCAAATGAAGTCATTAAGACAGCTGAATGCAGAGACCTGAAGTGCCGAGAAGAGGTACAGGCAAGAAGAAAGTTAAATTGGGAGCAGTTATGACACAAATGTTAGTAAGAGCCAAGGAAAAGAGTAAGAAGAGAGGAAGAATATGGCAACAGAGGGAAAAGCCCTGAAATATTTAGGAAGGTGCTCTTCTGTCCCAACCACCCATGAGTGCCACAGATAACTGCATGCTGTCAACTTAGTGGAAACATGATTGAGGCGGTAGAGGCTGCATCCAGAGGACACTGTAAGGTAATGACCGGATTGTGATGCTGATGTTTAGGAATGAGTCATCACTGGCCTCTGAAACCCTCCCAGCAAGGGACTCGGCAGTCAATTCATGGTTGCATTTTATGACAGGTGTCAGAAGTTCCAGGGATAACATCCTCTTTCAAACACTTGGATCTGACCTATATACTGCAGGCCAGCCTGTTTCTGAAAATGGTGAGTGACAACATGGCCTGTAAGGAAAACCAAGTGATTTTTCTTAAGAATATTTGAACCACTGGAACCTGATCACTTGGTGAAATTAGGTCCCAGAGGTTTGGGTCTTTCTTTAAGCATGAAAAATCATTTTGGCCTATAAAACTCAGGGAGGGTTGTTGGCAACTTAACTGTTCTAACCATAGGATGGCTTCTGCACGCTATGATTTTGAGTAAAATTACAACAGATAGGATGGCTTCTGCACGCTATGATTTTGAGTAAAATTACAACAGCACATGCCAAGATGGCTCACTCTTGCTCCTGCTGGAAGAGGGGATCTCCTATACAGGTGATACACTTGATGGTGTTAATTTTTTTTCTAGTTTATATATGCATCTACGTACTGCAGGACATCTGCAAATTTGAAAACTTAAAAGATTTAAAATACCTTGAAATACATAAGGCTGATAGACTGATGAGAGACTGGGATGCTGACAACACAAAACATCTGATGACACACCACATCCTTTGTTTTTGGGGATAACAAACCTTTTAATTGTTCCTGGAATTAAACTGTCCTGAGAGAAACTGGACAGGTTAATTAGCTAATATTCAACCCCAATTTAGATGATCATTTAAAGACACTTTGACATTGGAAATTGGCATTTCCAAACTTTGTGGATATTTACACAAACATCATGAGTGTAATTAAAACAAAGCTGCCACTGTTATACTTCATAAACAGCACCTAGGAAGAGGCAGAAGTCCAGGGGAGGAGAGTCCCTGGATCTTGTTCTATACGTCATAGCATGGTATGAAAGCTATGCAAAAGCTGCTGTGCTCCTCCTATTTAAAATGAAAATACCTACCATCAACACTATTTTAAACAAACAAAATCAGGTTAATTCAAATAAATATCCTTTATTAAAGAAAAAAAGGAATATTGTTAAGCACCAAAACTGTATGTTGTTACACTGCATGTACAATAAGAGAAAGGTGATTGCAATACTTGGTGTACAAGTACTTAACTCTGAAGTCATGAGTGTAAAAAACATGAAATATAAAGCAATACAATAATTACAATGCAGAAAAGTTGCACTAAAGAGGAAAAGGCAATGTTCAAAACAATTATTGGAGATTTCATAGTATTGCTATAAATGCTTGCTTAGTATTTTCTTTGTACTTTTAATACTTCAGAATGTTAACTGGGCATATTGAAGTATTGTAAATTTGCAAGAGATGGCATTTACAATATACTGTGCGCGCTGTCCATATAATGTAATGATAAAGCCATCCTTAAAAGCCAAGCACAATGTGCTAGTGTTTTGCTTCTACCTTTATAATATTGCACAAAGCTAGTAAATGGTGAATCAATTTGCCATTATAATTTTCATTTACCAAGAATGGCTAAAAAAAAAAAAAAGGAATGTCAGTTTCATTCATCCTAATGAACTTATTCATGCAAAATGATCTGTGGCCTTCCATTTTTCATAAACTACATATTATGGTTTCACACTTGGCAAGATATACAGTACAAGGAGAGATTCAGTGGGGATTCTTTAAAAGCCAAATAAGTTAGAAGTCACTATATGGATTGCACTTTCTACCCTTCTTTGTACACAAATGAAGGGGAAATGCCTTGTGATCATGAAGACTTCTTAAAACCAATGTACTTAATATGGGGAAAGCTGGAATAATTTGTTATACCCTTGATAGTTAACCATAGAACATGCAAGTTAAAAGAAAATTCCTGTGTTAAAACTCAACTCTATGACCAATACCCACCCATATCTTTTGCTTTCATCTAACCATCACTTTTCAAAGTCTTTCCTACCTGCTATCAACTTCCGATACTGATCTTATTTGTACCTGAATTAAAAACAAGAAACAAAAAACCTTCCTCTAACCCTCAAAACAAATGACCACAACTCTCTAACATGCCAACCTCAGAGGTATCCTCTGTATGTGCACATTACAATAGCAGAATAAGCATACTTGTAGCAGGGGCAAAACATCTGAAATTTGGAATTTAAGCAATTAAATTGTACTAATGCCAAGTTGTACATTTACTGTAGGCAAAATGAATTTTTAGAATAAACACCCTTGAAATAAGTCAATGGGCAAACAGCATACATGTGCATGCGCACACGCGCCGCACACTCAATCCAGACTCCCTCCCACCTTTAAAAACCTCTGTTTACATACAGGCAACAATATAAACTCATTTTGTAGGAAAAAACCTTTAAATTACAATATAGGATAAAAAATAACATTGCTTCATTTTACAAAGCAATTAGGCAGAGACTCTTCTTAATGTGCTTTAACTAAAGAGGACTTTTCAGCAAGATCAGAAATTACTACTGACTTATTCAGTAGCACTAAATAAATGCAATACATCTAGCAGTAAGGTACTTCTACTTTCTTGCCCCTCTTCAATTTAAAATAAATCTTGCTGGTCAATTCTCTTAACATTAGCATAGTTCTTTTTCTACTGTAAGCAATAAATGGGAAATAAATATCTTTAAAATGCACATTTAACTTTATATCACCATTTATATTCAGTGCAAGAATTAGGTAAAAGTAAATGTTTCAGTTTTCATATCAAATAGTTGTATTTTTAACAAAGTGTCTGCAACCGATTTAAAATGCTTACATGGTATTTTGTTTTGTTTATAAATAACCTGGCAAAGTATAAGAAATTTCAACTCCCTGATAAGGCCTGCAAGGACCCAATAGTATTTACAGGTTGGTATCTGGTGTTAAGTGCATAATAGTTAAATAATAAAGCTGAAAAAAAAAATCCTTGTGTTTTTTTAAAAGGAGAAAAAAAGGCTTCCTTTATGCTAAAAAGCATTGAATTAAATAAATACACTCAGTGAATGTAATTTAAAAATGGAGTCAACTGGGTGTGGTGGTGCATGTCTATAATCCCAGTGACTGAGGAGGCTGAGGCAGGAGGATCAAAAGCTCAAAGCCAGCCTCGGCAACTTAGTGAGGTCTTAGGTAACTTAGCAAGACCCTGTCTCAAAATATAAAATAAAAAGGGCTGGGAATGTGGTTCAGTGGTTGAGTGCCTCTGGGGTTCAATCCCCGGTACCAAAGAATGTATAAAATTAAGTTGTATTTTTTACTGAACTCATTCCATATAGTAATGCTAGTGCCCATTCCTTTTGTGTTCCACTCAAATAAGAGTATGATTCTTAGTGTCCACAATGGTTATTTATGCTTTATAATTTGACATGGTATGACACAAAAAGTGACACCCCCCACCCCCCTGAATAAAATGCTCAGCAAAGTTCCATATTCTTTCTGTGGAAATACCACACCTTATCAACAGTCTACCATTATCCTTAAAGATGCATTTTACAGAAATCGGCTCCACAATGAAGAACTAAGGAATGATGGTTTTTTATCCTGCTAACAAAGAGCCTATAAAATATACTTCAAATAAACAGAACAAGTGTTCACCCTTTAAAAATTCCCACTCGTCAGGCATTACCTCATACTGATAAACCACCAACTAGGATTTCAAAGCATTCAGAATACCTTTCCTCTACATCTACATTGGTCCTATATATATAATTTTGGTTGCATTAGTAGGGGAAATGTCTGAAATTGACATTCAAGTGAGCGGTTATCATGAACCTCAAAACATCTCCAAGTCATCATCTACTTGTTTCCCCCATTTTAAATATACTGCAATTGAGACTAAATTGGTAAATTAACTTCTAAATTGACTCAGCATAAGCAAACAGCTGTTTGTGAATTCAGAAATGATACATTAACAGAAATACAACTGTCAAATATTCTGAGCAACACAAAAAATACAGGCAAGTTTGGAACTGGAAACGTGATCATTTGTAAGTACCATAACAAATATATGCTAGTTTAATATTAAAGCAAATATCTGCATTTTATTAGAGGCAAGGAAAAAAAGAATATTGATCACGCTTAGCTTTTGTAGGGTTCTGATACTGCTTTAAAATGGGGGTTCAATTGATACTCATTTTAGACAAGTGGACCCTCGTTCTTTTAACTCCAATAGTATGTGACCTACAGTAATTTGTAATTTTGTGGAAGTAGCCAGGTGAATCTCTCCCCCCAAGTGCTGACGATGGGGCGCAGGGCCTCATACATGTAGGTAAGCAATCTACACTGAGCCACATCACCAGCTGATTACAAGGGGGCTAAAGACAGAGCACAAGAGCCTTTTTAAAGTGAGATTGCTTTGTAATAGAATCCCATAGTACTAATGGGTAGCAATTCTCTCAACATGAAGGGTCCAGTGTTTTTTGTTGTTAATTTAACATTACATCCTTCTGTATTTTTCCAAAATTGAAAAAAAAATGAATAAAAGTTAGGTTATGAACAAGCATCCAAAACACTTGACACATGAAATACTGATACATGGACACACACACACACACACACACACACACACAAAATGGATGGATTAGATGGATACATGTTTTTTTAAAAAAAAGTTTTCTAAATTTAAAAATTTGCAAATACATTAATCTAACGAATGGCTCTTTGGGTTAAAAGCATACTTTAATGCTTTACTGAAGTTATAAAGGATATGTACCCACCCCTACTAAAGTTTATATATATTAAATGTGTACTACTAATCATCCCAGACAAGACACGGGACTTATGCTGGGACTAGAACCAATGTATCATGAAAATGTTGTGCAGAAATTCCTAGTCTCATCAATAAATATATTACTAATGTTTGAGCAAAAAGATTTTGTTTTATATAACCTTCTGCTGCTGGGAATTTTTGTTAATGAAAATAATATTCAATAACAAAGGCTCTCTCCCAATGTTCCATTCAGAGCATTTCAACATAGTGAAATTCCAGCCAAAGAGGCTTTCCTGTCTACTTTCTGCATCTTTGTGGAGCACATGCTTTACACTGTGGAGCATAACAATAAAAACTTTTAATGGTGCATGATAAAGAGTTATGATCTACATCCCTATTATTGAATCCTCCTTTTTGATTCTCAATAGGAAAGTCATGAGTTATGGTGATCAAGCAACAGTTCAAACAAAAAGATTAAAAATAATTTGAAACATTATCAAATTACAAAGTATTGCTTCTCATAAACAAGGATGCACATAAAATTCAAACCATTATAAATTCAGAATTATGAAAAGCTATTTAAAAGCATGGAAATTTTAACTTCAAACCCTTACAAAGTGTAGACTGTGTAGCCTTCTAACAATATGCCTTGTTAAATGTTATCATGTTTGGTACACACATTAATAGGTATATCTCCATTGATCTTTCAGATGTTGAACATCATTTATGAAAATTCCTTTGGAGAGGAGAACTGTTTTTAAGTATATTTTGAACTACATTTCCATCTGATTATAATTCCTGACCTATTGCTACCATGATAAACTTCTATTTCAGAATGTAGCACTATTTCTGTAAGCTGATATGGAAGAAGCTCTATGTTTTCAGCAGATGTCCTTCCTTTCAGTACACTGAAAGATGGATCTCAAAGCAGTCCCAAAACAGCTCACAGTAGATCTCTGTCAGCCCAGTGTTCTTCCAACTCATAGCAACTCCCAGTTTAACTGGCCACTACAAGTATATATATGGATGGGGGAAGGGAAGGTGCATAAAAAACAGCCATCTCCAGGAGGCCTTTCTTCATCACAGATAGGAACATTGCACATTTAAAAATCATCTTAACCATTATCTATTGGAATGACTATAAAAGTAATAATTTGCCAATTGTGCTTCCTTTTCCCCCCCCCCATACAACTGAGTCAATATACTTTGGGTCTAATGGAATCCAACTGTGGAACCAAGAGTTCAACTTTTGTTTTCCAAAAGAATCCGAACCAATCTTCATCTGTACGTATTTTTCTTCTTTAAGTTACCTGTTGGCAAACAAAATACAGTGAATTAAAAAAAAAAAAAAAAAAAAATATTCTCTCCTCCCTCTCTCTCTCTCTCTCTCTAAACAAATATACAAGCATACACACAAACCTTTTAAAAGCAGGCTCAGTGCTGCATACCATTTACACTTGCACTATCTGGGATGAACAGATAGGTAAAAGATGGTGGATTCAAAAAAAGAAGCATATAACAAAAGAAAAGGATTGGGGATGTAGCTCAATGTAGAATGCCTCTGGGTTCAATCCCTAATACTGACACAGACACACACACCTAAAAGTGACTTCACATGTATCTGAGCTCATACGTTATCTGAGAGTGTTTCTTTTAACATTGTACAACATGCAGAAATCTCCACCCCCAAAAAAAGACAATGAAAAACCCAGCCTCCAACCACTCCAGTGAAGTTTTAAGCAGGTTTTTTTGTTTGTTTTGTTTTCTTTGAAATGGCACATGTTCTTCAGCCTAAATGAATAGCCAGAAACTTTAAATAACACCTCAGCCAGTTCCTATACATAATGCTCTTACAATGTCTATATATCAGAGAGGATTCTGGTGGGGTGGGAGAAAACAAATGAGGGTATGCCAGCCTGAGCCACTGTACCAGCTCTGCCTACTATATAGGCCAGTTGTAAGAAATAAAAAATAAAATATACACATCTGTGAAAGCCATGTTGTGGCATTAACCAATAATGCATCCAGTTGGTAGTTTTAGTGCAGGTTTAAGCAGCAAACTGAGAAGCTACAAGCAGGAGACAATTTAATAAGTAGCAAGAACTGTGAAGTGGGGGATAATCTGCAAATAACTAGAAAAGTTTCCAGATGCACCTGAGTTGCTGGACATTAACATAATGAGCAAGATGTCTAGATTTCTAGATATCTGCATTCATATACAAGACATAATGTACACATGCACAAGCAAAAAATGGTTTCAAATTATCTTGGAATTCAAAAGTGATATGTCATACAGTTCTACAAAGTGATCATAATTAGGGTCTCTACGTAACAGGAAATAAAGCAGGGAAATGATAGTATTGAACATTGCTGAATCATATTGAACACTGCTGAGTCATATCAACAGAAATATTTTTTTCACCCTTCTGTTAAGTTTGGTGCATAAGTGCATAGGGACAGCATGGAGAGGTAATAGATGAATATTTTCCAGATAAACCCAAGCTCAAAAAGAACAAGTGATTTTTTTTAAGCATTTTTCACTTATAATCAATTTTAAAACTGATATTTTTTTTTTGGTACTACGTCTCCAAAATCCAGATGTATACCTGCATATCTGTATCAACTCAGTAAGAATCTCTAACTCAAGAGTATGCATTTTATTTTTTTTAAGAGAGAGAGAATTTTTAATATTTATTTTTTAGTTATCGGCGGACACAACATCTTTGTTGGTATGTGGTGCTGAGGATCGAACCCGGCCGCACGCATGCCAGGCGAGCGTGCTAATGCTTGAGCCACATCCTCAGCCCCAAGAGTATGCATTTTAAATAAGCTCACCAGGTTAGCTCTTAAGATCAAACATGTTTAAGAATCACTGTGCTGATAAGTACAGTGCTGTAATCCCAGCTACTTGGGAGGCTGAGATAGCAGGATCACAAGTTCAAGGCCAGCCTGGGTAACTTAAAAAGACCCTGTCTCTCCTGTCTGTTTTCCCTCCCTCCCTCCCTCCCTCCCCCCCCCACACACACACACACACACACACACACAAAAAAAAAAAAAAAAAAGGAAAAGAAAAGAAAAGAAAGAAAGAAAGGGCTGGATGTGAAAAAAAAAAAAAATCAATGATAGAGTGCTGCTAGCATGTTCAAAGCCACAGATTCAATCTCCACTACTGAAAATTAAAAAGATTCATTTTGCTAAAAAAAATTATCCTTTATTTATTTATTTATTGGGGGGGGGGCTGTTCCGGGTATTGAACTCAGTGGCACCACTGAGCCACATCCCCAGCCCTATTTTGTATTTTATTTAGAGACTGGGGCTCACTGGATTGCTTAGCACATCACTGTTGCTGAGGCTGGTTTTGAACTCATGATCCTCCTGCCTCAGCCTCCTGATCCACTGGGACTTCAGGCATGCACCACTGCACCCAGCCTTTACCTACTTCTTCCAGAACTAAAATATTCCCTGTTTTGGTAAATGTTGTGAATCCCATAGAGACATAATTCCATCAAGAGAATATTATAATGAGTAGAACATGTTTGCATATTCTGTACATTTTGCCCAAATTGCTGTATTTCAGCTGCATTAATTATCAGTTCTATATACTATTTAATTTATAGCACATTATCTTTATTGATTTGATATATTTAATATAATTTGTGTCACATTACAAACTAGTAATGTCACATTACAAACTAATTACCTTATTAAAAAGTAGACTACAAAATAGACTACAAATATTACTTAAGATAACATCACATTTTAACCAAAAAGATGATCATACAATATATTGAGGGGACTCTAGACATGTTATACGTGTGTGTGTGTATATATATAAGTTGCAGCTACTATATATATATATAAAACAGAACAATTACATTATGTGTGTGTATATATAAACACATATTACACACACACACACACACACAGTAGCTGCAAATTAGTCTAGACAATCCAGTAAATGCAATAAGCCCGAGTAGTTTTAAACGTTTAGAAATCTAATCAGACTATGCAATGATTTTTTTTTTCTAGACTGATACTAGAAAACTTGACAGGCTGCAAGAAGACATCAAAACTCAGAATACGTAATGGAAGTACTTCAGTTGAAAAAGTCCTCCTTTGTTTAAGGCAGAAGTAATACTGTCCCTTTACTTGGGATATATGTGTTCTACAGAAAATTTTAGTGAGCAAGATATAAAAATCATAGCATATACATACCAATAATCCTTAAAAAGTGCTTTTTGTTACTTTGGTTTCTAGAAATTTACAAACTTATGATCCATACTATACGCTTAAGACTCAATAAGGAATACCAGACCCCATTCTGTAATACTGAATGCTATTAAAGACAATAGGCCATTTACTTGTCAGTTCTCCCAGTCTGTGCAAGGCAAAGCCTCCTCTTCATCCTCTGACTCAGGGGATGCCTCTTTAATTCTTCGTAGAGCTTCATGGATGCTCCGTGTTAGAGGGTCTGTATCAGGCAGAAGTGTGAAGGATTCTCTCAAAACTTCCTTCTGTACCTTCTTCAATTTTACCCCTTTCCTTATTTGTGCCAAGATATTATTACTATCATCTTCATCAGGAAAAGGAGGCAGAGTTCGCTGTTCAACCTTTTTCAAATGAAAACTACCACGCTTCAAGGATGCTAGCACTTCATCCATAGGTGAGCTCACTTTGGAAAATGAAACAGAATAATTACATTAATAAATATTTCACAGAAAGGCCCCAGATTAAAATGTAATATGCAAATGTTTTTACATAATGTTTAAAGGAAAGTTCCTTGTTATTTTTTAGAAGTAATTTTATTAAGACATATTGGACAAATTGTACATACCTTTCTCTACTTCTTCGCTTTCTTAAACAAAGAATATACCCCAATACCAAAATGTGAGAAAATATTACAAGATTTTGCCAATGTCTCCCAGCCCTTAAGAAAGGACTATGAGTACTGTTTTGTTCTCTTTGTTTTTGTGGTGCTGGGGACTGAACACAGGGCCTTGTACATCCTAGATAAATGCTCTATCACTAAAGTACTCATGGTCTCTATCCTAGACCATGAGTACTTTATCTCATCTCCCAGGTTTAAAATCAGATTTTCTCTAGCATAGAAAGAGCTACCAACCAAACAGGTCAAGTCACTTCAGAAGACATACTTTTAAAACATACCCAATAAACAGCCTAAGAAGGTACACATTTATGTGTATCAGTACATATCTGTTGCTGGGGTGAGAATTCTCCTCTACTGTGACCTTGAAAACCTGTTTACTATGAAATAATGTTGTTCAAAGATAAATATTTTAAGGCTGGGGCTGTAGTTCAGTGACAGAGCGCTTGCTTAGCATGTGTGAGGCACTGGGTTGGATCCTCAGCACCACATACAAATAAAATAAAACCATACACAACTACAAAAGAATTTTTTTAAAGAAATGTTTTAAATTGTTTAAAGTAGAATAAAATTATTATTATTAATTATTATTATTCATTATTAGTCATTATTCATCACTTTATGCAAAAGTTGGTCGTGAAAATGTCTTTCAAGTTACCTCTCCTCCTCTGCAAACCTTCAGCAGTCTTCCTGAGCTTCTTTCGGGCACTAACCAGCTGGCTGCTATCAAAAAGGTGTGCTGAGGGGGCGCTGGCAGACTTCGGGATCCTCTTCTCATTCCCCTCCTTTCTAGGCAGACCTTTCTCCAGTGTCTCTGGGTTGGCAGTGTTGTCCTTTGCAACAGGCAGAGGGGGAGGAGGGGGAGGGGGAGGGGGTGGTGGGGGTGGAGGGGGTGTAGGAGGGAGAGGTGGTGGGAATGGATCTGTGCTAACAGAACATGGTTCAAGGTCACTGCTATTCAAAAGTGGAAGAGATGCAGTGGGAGGCAGTTCGGAGGTAACACCACTGAGAGGTAATGAAGTGGCTTCAAGTTGTGCTAATGAATTATCTTCAAGTTGTGAAAGGTGCTGGGATTCTGTTGTCTGTGATGACCCAAGCTGGCCTCTTCCTTCTCCCACCTCTTCAGTTTTTCCCTCTACCTGCAACACCCCTGGTAGAGAGTCACATGGATCCTCATGGGGCACAGGACTTGTTGCACTTTTTCTTCTCGCATGAGCCAGTCGCAATCTGGTTGATTTAAGTATGACTTGCCCAGGGTACCTCTAAAATAACAAAATTATTATAACTGGTTGTATTACATTAAAACAATTTATGTATGTCCTTATACTGAAGATATTTTTGGCTCTTTTGTGACTTTTCAGGAAAAAAAAAATCCAGAATACTAGAATGACAATGCCTAATACCTCCTCAAACTATTATCATCAGCTAGTCTTTAACTATTTAAGTAGCCAACTGTTCAAAATTATTGCATTTTAAAAAATATTTAATATGCTACTGTTATGCAGAAAGCTAAAAAACTATTAGTTTCCTGTATGTTTTTCAATGCTTGTGGATTAGAAAATTTGAAACTTCTTTTACTGATTGTTTATGTAGCGTAATAAAACCTCTGATAATAATATATTCATTTTGACCTGTGAAGGAGAGGAATAAAATCTTTTGCATTACTGATTAATACAGAGAAGTCTCATTATAAATCACTTATTGCATGAAAACCTAGTATTAATAACACTTGTTAAGAAAATATTTACTTAATGCAAGTCTTATCCTCTTATAAAGGATGCCCTCACAGCACCCCATTTTTTTTTTACTATACAACTAAGAGTTCACTTCACCTATAAGGTAATTCCTTCAGTGGGGAGGAATTGAAGTAAGGCTTCAGAGCATTTCAAGGTTTAGACACTCTTTATATCTGTTCAGAGTCATGGCTTAGCCTGGCAAGGAACCTCCTCAATAAATTCTCCTATATATAGGTCCACTCTTCCATTCTCCAATGGTCATCGCCATACATTACCTTCATAGGTTGATATATGTGGAATCAGTAACAAGTTGATATTTGAGCTGATTACTCAGTTGTAAACTGGCTATTTTTATAAAATGCAAAGGGAATCCAGGTTTCCCAGACACCCCGATCTTATACCACTCTTTGTGTACCAAAGATCACAAGAATATTTACTTTGGAAACAACCAAAAGAAAGGGGGCCATGATATCAAAACAGTTGTTGGGAAGGGGTGGGGGAAGAGACCTGCCATAGTTATATTTTAAAGAGATATGTGTATAGCTCTGTTTGAAAAGCAATGAAAAACAATAAATGGGCCATACTTTCCATTACCTGTTTAAATGTTCGAAGTCTATCCAGCGTTCTCTGTCTCTCCTGACTAACCCAGGCACTTTTTCTTTCCTCTTCATCATGCACTTTTTCTCTCTTCTGGTAAAAAAAATAATTCCATAAGTCCATTATGTTGTGTCCCATTCATTTTTGCCATTAATAGAGAAAACACACATGCACACAATGTTCTCCCAATATGTAAAATACATGACTTAAGAGAACAAAATGTTCCATGACGTGCAGTCCTGTTTTTAAATAAAAGTCACTGTTTTAAAATTCATACTGATGATGAAGTAAAATTAAATCCCTGAACTATTTTTATCTTATGAGTTTTGAACTTAATTCAGTATAAAATAATTATTTCCACTATATTCTGTTAATTCAAATATAATTGACTTATTTTTAGAGACAAAGATTTACTTAGGAAAGCAGATATGTATACATTCAAGGGAGAATTCAGGCTATCTCCAGAGTGGACACCTCTGGGGCATTACAGCAATGGATACAAGTTCAAGAGAGGATGTGAGCCTTTTCCAGAGGAAGCAACAGCCTATGACAGCCTATTTTTACCTCCCGAATTCTCAGATAGGCAGTTAATACTGTCAAATGGTTATCCTACCAAAAGCACAGATGGAATGCAATTCCCACAAAATTCCAATGTAGTTCTTTATAGAAATAGAAAAAGGAGGGGCTGGGGATGTGGCTCAGGCGGTAGCGCGCTCATCTGGCATGCGTGCGGCCCGGGTTCGATCCCCAGCACCACATACCAACAAAGATGTTGTGTCCGCCGAGAACTAAAAAATAAAATATTAAAATTTCTCTCTCTCTCTCTCACTCTCTCTTTAAAAAAAAAAAAAAGAAATAGAAAAAGGAGTCATGAAATTTTTCTGGAAAAATAAGAGGCCCAGAATAGCCAAAGCAATCCTCAGAGCGAGAAAAACTAAGCAGGAGGCATCACAATCCCAGACCTTAAATTATTAAAGAGCTATATGAACAAAAATATCTTTGTTGTGGTGCATGGTATTAGAACCATAACAGACAAGAAGACCAATGGAACAAAATAGAAGACACAGAGACAAACCGACAAAAATAGTTACTTCATACTAGTCAAAGGTACCAAAGCCTATCACTTTAGAGATAAACCCAGCAACAAGTTAGTTGGCCATTTAGATATTATATGGTATTTTGATGAATATAACCAGCAGTTATACAAAATGCTTCCTGTTATGCATCAATTACTTGCCTTAATATCATACCTTACAGATGGCACTTACCTACATAGAAATTTTAAATTTTTCCCATATTGTTCAATCATATAAAACCTGTACAATAAAGTCTCATTTGCTAGAATATATGTTAGTCAAGCAAATGATAGGTTATGACTTTGTTTTCCTGCTCAGATAATCAATTTCACATAGAAAAATCAACTTTTCATTCTTCTAAAAATGTTCTTTTCGAATACAAACCTTCACTATGCTTTTTATTTTGTCCCCTAACTCCTTTATTCCCACCAGATAATAATATTTTATTATCTTCCCCCAAACAGAGTTGGGTTGTAGGTCAGTGGCACAGCACCCCTGAATTCAATCACCAGTAACAGGGGTGGGGGTGGGGGATGGAGGTGACACCAAGAATAAAATAAAGATCTCTCCTACTTCCTTTTAATTCCTTAAATGTGAGAGGGAAGAATAAAGGTAACTCTGAATGAAGGAAACTGAAAGAGATGTGATAGGCTAATTACTTTGATAAAATGTTATGAAAAACATGATTCTTATATAACAAAATTTGATATTATTTAAATACAATAAAACCTAAAATAAAATCTGAAATAAATTAGCATGTACCCAAATTAAGAGGTGTAAGATAAACAACAAAAAAAAATCAAAACACAACAAAAACCCACATCAATGAAAATGGAAAATGTTTTCAGGGCAATGACTATTATTCTTGAGACCATTTCAGTGACTACTATTAGTATAATTATAAACTGAATGCCCATAAAGTATGGGCAGAAAACCTTCTAGTTAAGGGATAGTAAAGGCAGTCTCGGGGATCTTTCTTACTTCCTTGAAACCTAAGGGTGGGGGGTAATTTGAGACAAAAATGCTAGCTAGCTTCAAATAAAACAAGGTGATATTTTATTAACTGCAAGCTACATATTATGATATATACCTGCTACATAAAAAATTATAACAATAAGGATCAATATTTTTTAAATTATATTACTTTTTAGTTTTTAATGAGTTTTTATTTATTTATTCATTTATATGTGGTTCTCAAACATGCTAGGCAAGCAAGGATCTAACACTGAGCTACAACCCCAGCTCAAATATCAATATTGACAGTCATCTTCAGACCTCTGATTTAAGACAGAATTCTCTAAAAAAATAAATCAGTACAGAAAAGCCATCAACTTTCATTGATGATAAAACTGGGGGGAATATAGACGGGTCATAAGATGAAGATGTTCCTCTGAATATCTGAATCCTTATCACAGAATAAATACTATCATCGATGTAACTGGAGGAGAAAAAAAAGATAAAATATTATCTTCATGTTCAATAAGCCCTCTTTGCTGAAGGGAAACAGCAGGTTGTGAGATAGGGCAAAGGAAGAAACAATTCCAAATATCAACTGAGATACCCTGTGATGTAAGGGCTTTCCATAAGTCCCACAGGAGAACCTCAAGGGCCTCACAGAAAACCTGATGCACAATCATCACCTAGTAAAGTACTAGACTTCAGAATAAAGAAAAATTCTTTTGGGTATCAGATAGAAGAAAAACCACGTTCCTATGAGGTGGAGAGGGCCTCAGACCTCTTCATTACAACATTCAATGCTACAATATAGTGTGGCAGTATTTCCAAAAATTTGTTGGAGGAGGAAATGCCCACATGATCCACCAAGAGTATCCTTTATATATAAAGGATATAAACAGGCATTCCCAATACATGCAAGAACTCAGAAGGTAAAACTTTCCCAAAATAGCACCTTAAATGAAATCTAACCAACTCCAAGGTGAACAAAAATAAACTCAGAAACAAAAAGCTGATAAGAACCCAATAAGCACTAAACTTAGATATAAAACTGAATCTAAAACAACTGAGAATCATGAGTAAACAACAAAGAATTTAAAAGTTTTTTTAGCAAACGCATGCTGTGAAAGATAAAGAATATCCTAACAATCTTTCTCTGAATGTTTTCAAGAAATCTGTGTGAATCCTAATAATTTGTTCAAAAGTTCTCTTGTTAAAAGTAGTATCAATTCTGAACTTGATTTTTTTCTTTATAACTGTAAACTTTATAACTTATAATGATCGTAGTATCTCTTCTATATACAATGAGTTTTTAAAGTACAGGAATGATTGTTTCAAGAAACTGCTTTGCAAGCTACTAATTACAACTGCTTATAATTAAAGGATTTCATATCAATGTATTGTTTTTAGGAAACTGAGAACAATGATTGGTCATGGCACCTATTGGAGCAGAGGAAGTTGACAAAGGCAACACAAAAAGAAGCCACATGAGCAAAAGTCAAGCTATCAGTTTCCATGACCTACAGCTTAAAAGTATTTCATTTATGCTTTCAATAAGTAATAGCCACAAGTTATGAGTGATTATGTAAAACAAGAATGTAATTTTTTTAAAAGGAGAAAATTGACTGTTTCTTGGCCACAATTTTTTTCTTGCACCTAAATTGATTTAACAGTAATGGCAACAACAACAAATACAGTTGGGAATGTAGCTCAGTGGTAGAGTACTTGCCTAGCAAGTGTGAGCCCTCTCTTTTTAGAGAGTTTACACCGAATACACACATACACACACACACACACACACACACACACACACACACACACACACACACACCCCTAATTTCGAAGCCCAGAATGGTGGCATAGTCCTAGAATTTGAGAGGCTGAGACAGCGAGATCTTAAGTTTGAGGCAACCTGGGAAACTTAGTGAGACCCTATCTCAAAATAAAGAGTTGGGGATACAGCTTAGTTGTAGCAGCACTAGCCCTGGGTTAGTTTCAACCCCGGTCCAGGGAGAGAAGGGGTGGGGCACAGAACAGAAATCTAGCTTTGAAAAACAAGGATCTATTTTGATATAAGCCTGCTTTATTTTCCTTTAGTTGTGCATGTAAAATGACAAGGTTGGTGAATGGATCCATCCATTATCTGACAATTAGGTATTTCACCTGAGGCTAGTATTAGGTCAAATTATAAGATGACATTTATCTCTGAGATTCTATTATGTATCAATTTCCCTCATTTTTACCCCTTTGTCCCACAAAACTCCTAAATAGTTAATTAGCCACTTCATCCAAAGGATCAGCTGCTTATCAGAAACCAAAACCTTCATATAAAAATAAAGAGGCTATATGTATGGAATCTCAATAACCATGCTGATAACCCTTATTCACCTTTTTCGACCCTCTTGATCTTTAACTGTGCGAAAATGAGCTTAAAGGATTAATGGATAAATTTTAAGCCCTTTATGTCCATTAACATGATGCTAATTTTTTTTTTTAATAAACATGCTCTTGGCAATCTAGGAATAGAAACTTTCTTGGCTTGATCAAGAACATTTAAGAAACTAGAGCTTTCTGTTAAGATAAGGAAGATGCAAGTATGTTCCCTCTCATTCCTCCTTTATAATAATGGAATTATGAGCTAAAGTAATAAGACAAGAAAATGAAATAAAAAGGAGATTGGGAAGGAAAAAACTACTTTGTTTACAGTTAATATTATCCAAAAGAAAACTGATATGAGAAAAATAACACTGGATTTAATTCCCAGCACAACACAAACACACACACACACACACACACACACACACACAATAGTAAATAATAGGTACAAGACACTTTCTAATATACCATTGATGAACCAATTGGAGTTTCAAATCAGAACATAATACCATTACCACCCCTCTACACAAAGAAGTAGGTATAAACCTAACTATATAGTGCCATATATATATATGATTCACACAAATATAAATACACACATGCGCGTGCTTTTATATAAGATCTAAATGAGGAAAACATAAAAACAGATAAATAAAATTAAAGAATTAAATGGGGATATATTTCTTGTTTGTGGGCAGGAAAACTCAAACACTTTTAATCAACCGGTTCAATGCAGTTCCACTCTAATCTCAGCAAGTTATTTTGTTATCTGTCAAAAAGCTGATTCTGAACATTAAATGGAAAGACAAAAGACTTGATCAACAGAACAGTACAGAGAGCCTAAAATAGAACCACACAGAATCATGTATCTTTGACTAAGGGGTAAAGGCAATTCAATGAAACAAAGAAAAGAATTTATTTTTTTGTGGTACTGTAGATTGAACCCAGGGCCTTATTCAAATTAGGCAAGTGCTCTACCATTTTGTATCTCCAGTCCAAAGATAATGATTTAGTTGGGGATATAGCTCAGTTGGTAGAGTGCTTGCTTCGCATGCATAAGGCCCTGGGTTCAATCTCCAGTGCCCAAGAAAAGAAGGAGGGGAAGCCAATGAAAATCATTTAAATAAAAGGTACTAGAGTAACTGGACATACACATGCAAAATAATGAATCCAGACATAACCTATGTTGGTCACAAAAATTAACTCAAAGTGAATCACAGACCTCGAACTACAATGCAAAACCAAAAAAACGACAAGATTACATAAGAGAAAATGACCTCAAGTTTGGTGAAGACTTTTTAGATGACTTACCTGATATAAAAGACATTACTAGTAAACTGGACTCTGCTAAATTTTTGAAAAGTTTTTAATCCCTGCTCTGGGTAGGATACTGTCTAAAGAATGAGAATTCAAGTGGCAAATTGGGAGAAAATATTTGTAGAAGACACATCGGATAAAGGACTGTTATCCAAAGAACTCTTAAAACTCACCAATAAAGAAGCACAAAGCCAATTACAAACTGAGCACAACATTCTGATGCTAAAGAAGATATCTAGTTTGGAAAAAAAGAAAAGGGAAGATCTGCAGATGACAAATGGGCATATGAAAAGATGCTTGACATCATGTCATTAGAGAACAGTAAACTAAAACAATGATATACCAATACACACCTATTAGAATTCAAAACCCTGACAACAGAAGAAGCTTGAAAAGGGAATGAAACCACCTGAGCTCTCATTTATTGACCAGGGGAATGCAAACTGCTACAATCACTTTAGAGGATGGTTTGGTAGTTTCTTGCATGACTATATATACTCTTACCATACTATACAGAAATCGAACTCCTCGTTATTTACTCAAAGAAGCTGAATCTATGTGCACCAAAAGCCCTATATGTCCAGGTATAGTAGTCCCTGCTTGTAATCCCAGTGATTTGGGAGGCTAAGGCAGGAGGATTGAAAGTTGAAGCCAGCCTTAGGAATTTACCAAGAGCCTCAGCAACTCAGTGACTCTATTTCTCAAAATACCACGCAGCCTCTGGGTTCAATCCCCAGTACTCCCTGTCCAACAAATAATAAAATCAAATTAAAACCCCTGCATGGGCTTTTAAATAGCTTTATTCATAACTTCCAATGCTTGGAAACAACCAAGATAGGTCTCAGTAAATGAATGGATGAACACACTATAGTATATATTCATAAAATGTAGTAGTATCAAACACTAAAAATAAATGAGCCGTCAAGCCACAAAGACACAGAAAAACCTAAAATCCATATTACTAAGAAACCAATCTGAATAAGTCCATGTATGATTCTAACTGTATACACAAAATGGGTAAAGAAAAAACTATGGCAGCAGTAAAATATCAATGATTAAAAAGGGTCTGGGGGCAGAGAGGGAAAGAACAGGTAGAATAAAGGGATTTTTCAGGATAGTGAAAAATCAACAATAAAAAAGCAGAAACCTAATTAAAAACTATTCTGTATGATACTATAAGAACAGATTCATGTCAATACCAATTATAGTACGTAAACCACACAACACCAGGAAAAAAACATAAGGTAAACAATGGTCTTTGGGCAATAATGATGTGTCAATGTTGATGTTGTTTTTGAGAATTTTTGACAAATGTACCACTGTGGTAGCAACAGAAGTTATGTGTTAGAGGTGTGGGGAGAAGGCACAGGTGGAAAGTGGAGCAGAGAGCAACTCTCCAGACTCACCACTCAAAAAGTATGCCCCACACACACCATACACAACTGCTAATTTAGCAAAGCATGTTTATTAACCTAGCTACTCTAGAGGCTTGAAAACCACAAGTTCCAGGCCAACCAAGGCAACTTATCAAGACCCTGTCTCCAAATAAATTAGAAAGGGTTATCTATGTAACTCAGTGGCCAAAAGCTTACCCAGCCATGTGTGAAGGCCTAGGTTCAATGCCCAGTATAGCAAAAACAGCCAAAAAACAAAAACAAACAAACAATAAAAAAAAACCCACTCAATTTGCATGCATATTTATATTCATAAATATATGAACTAATGCTAATATCTGTTATGAGATTCTCTATAGCCTTTATTTACCTTGACACATAAAAATAAACCTTTGTAACAAGTCTCCAAGAGTCCAAACTTACTAGTTGTACCATGTGATGGGTTCTATATTCCTCTTCACTTTGAATGCGCTGTTGGAATTTTTCATTGTGTTTTGCAATACAAATTTCCTATAAATACATAAAATGTCTTTTAATAATTTAGAAAAGCCACACCAAGGTTTATTTGATAAATTTTAATTTTAATACATACCTACATAGCAAAGTACCAACTAACCACCCATTATTTCTCACCTGAACCATTGAAATATGAGCCAGATAATAAGGATCTTACAAAAGACTCTTCTATTAAACTGTTAACTTTTCTAGACACTGTGTTGTCATTTTAAGAGAAGGGATGGGGCAAGGTAGAAGAGGATGTCCATAGATCTCAAAGGTTTCTTTCAGTTATGAAGTCTATCCAGCCAGAAAATTCCTTCCAAGTCTCACTATATTCTTTAAACAGGTCTGGGCAAAAAAGAATATACAACTGTTGGCATAAGTCTGTATTCTTGAGTTTTCTCTGATTAATTAAAGACCATGATTTTGTCCAGACTAGTTTAAACAATATCACGAGATCTGAATCTTCTAGTCATACTTGTTAAGAGTTGAAAAAGACCTTAAAAACTAGAAATGCCCTATAATCCAAATGACAACTTTTTGGCAGCATCAAGTCTAATCTTCATTAACTGTATGTCCTTAATGTAACTATCCTTAAAAGAAGTTTTCTAGATAAAAAGGCTAACTATTAATATTAGTTTCCAGTATTCTCAAAGCTATACCAAAATGATCACTCTTTCATTTTAAAAAAGTCATGAGGCACTGGGTTTGATCCTCAGCACCACATAAAAATAAATAAAGATATTCTGTCCATGTATAATTATAAAAAAAAAGAATTTTAAAGTATTTTGCCCATCTACAACTAAAAAAGAAAGTCATAATGACTTTGAAAGTCATTAATATTTTAAAGCAGATGTTTACAACACTGTATTCTTAGCCTGCTCTGGTTCACTCTACTAACAAAAATCTGTCCAGTGCAGTTGAGAAAATAAAGGTAGCATTATATAATCTTATTACAGAATGATATAGTGACTTTGAAGTCACACAAACATAGAACAAAATCGTACACGTCTGCCCCATTCTAGCTGCTTATCCTTCTGTGATTTAATAATTACTAGAACTTTCACACCCTTGATTATTATATGAGGATATAAGTTTACAATCCCTTATTCAGAACTGAAGTCAGATGTGTTCTGAGATTCACATTTCTTTTTCATATTTTAGAAGGTTGTTACTTCACACATCATCCAATAACTAGGGCAAGATCTGAGGGAATATCCTGTAATAAGTAATATTAATATTTTTGCAGTGACATATATGAAAAGTCAAAGTGGTAAAATTAAGATAATAAAATAACTTCATGTCAGTTCAGGTGTGGTTCTGCCACCAAATGTACTGAATATTAAAGTATTAAAATATTTAATAAATATTAAATGAATATTAAATATAAATAAATAATAAATATTAAAGTATTAAAATACGACCAATTTTCTAGGCTTTCTAGAATTCAGACAAGGGATTACCTCATCTGGCTCATTTGGGTGAATTAAAGACGAAATACACAGAGAATAGTATTACTTCTATTATCTGAAATATTTACACACAAAACAACTTGAAGACTTCAGGGAAAAGGACAGGATTTGCTTAGAAGCACAACTACTGTCAGTATGTAATCCTATTATGAGTGTCGGGTACACTAAGTAGCCAGGAGCCAATGCTTCTTACCACATGACATTCTTAAGAGAATAATGGATGGTGTTCCACAGGGAGACATCTATTTTTAAAATCTTTTTTTTTTTTTGTCATATATTTGATACAATGGTTTTCTTCTTAGGATTTAGTATTTCCAGTTTCCTTTATTTTCAGCATTCTTGTCATTCCTCCCTCCTGCTGCAGACCTGGCAACCGGAGTTGGTGGAATTGGGGGGCAGGGTGCAAATGTAAAAAGAAAGTTTCTCCAATAGTGGATTCCCCTATCTTAAATTTAGATTTATATAAGAACAGAGTGAAGAATATTGATTGACATGAATTAATAGGCTTCAATAAGGAAATAGCTGAAGAGAAAGTTCAGTCTGATTCAGATTCTGATTTACTTTTCGCATGTGATGAAACTCTCCCCCCAAAAAACTAAACATAGGACCCCTCTAATACTAAATATCACAGAGCTCCCCCAATTCTTATTCCCTTTGGCCTTTGTAGGGCACCTGATACTGCTGACCACCCTGCTTTGAGGAATCATATTCTCTTTTGCAGCCTCACCATCTCCTGCTTCTTCTCCCTCAGACTTCTCTTTCTCTTTGACCCTTTCTTGTGTACAAAGTCTTAAACTTTCTGCAGGACTCTTTCCAAAGAGCCTCTCTTCTCACAATACACCGGTGCCTTCTCTGTTCAATTTTCATAACCCATGCCCTTTACAAGGTCTTCTCACCCCTAGGCAAAAATGTTCTGCTGACTTTTGCTTTTGGAATTATAAAAATACTAAGTACATGCAAGATTTTTTTTTTTTAACTACCAATCTGTTCTATCACCTTCCCTTTGCACCTCCTCAACAGCTCTCCATCTCGATCACTGATAAAATCACCTACTCAATACATGGAACCCAGAGGCCCAACAGTTTCATGGCCATCTCCACCTGAAACTTGGATCATTACCTGTAAGGCATTTGTGTTTTTCCCTTGGCAGTCCATTGTGATAGATGGAACCTCTATCCATCCAAATGCCCAATTTAGAAGCCTGAGAGATAATAGAGAATAGCTCCTCTATTCTTCATTATAAACCATTAAATCTTATTGACTTTCTACTTCTGGAAAGGGTTAAAATTGGACACTTCTCAGATTTTCTATTCCTTACTATCTATACTACCCATCACTACCTCAGCTCATACTCTTAACATTCCAACCCCACAAAGTTGAGGATAATGATAATCTCCAACCAGAACCTTTTGTTGTTCACTGTAACTTATTTTAATTTTGCCTTATCTTTATAAAACATAAATCTGTATATATTATCCTTTACTTAAAACTTTGCAATCATTTGCATTACCTTCAGAATCTGCTCAGGCCTATTAATGTGGTTCAGAAAACTTCCCATAATCTGGTCCCTGTAGCACACTTACCACATACAGTCCCCTGACTAGCCATGCTCTTATGCTTCAGTGTCATTTTGTTGGGCTTGGAATTATACCCCCACATCAACCATTTGGCAAATTTCTATTTAGATGTAAAACCTAATGCAAAGGGCTGGGGATATAGCTCAGCTGGTAGAGTGCTTGCCTCCGCACACACAACCCTGGGTTCAATCCCCAACACCACAAAACAAAAACCTAATGCATGTACAAGAAGCCTTTCTTTGCTGCCTTTATTTGCTCTCTTGTTATCTGGCATGCTTACCTGGTCATCTGGTTGGCCTTCTATAAAACTAGGAAGAGCAGAGACTATGCCTTGCTCATCATTGTGCATAGCACAATGTTGAATTAAAATGAACCAGACTATTAACTAAGTCTGAATTATACAACATTTTTAAAAAATGCTTTAAAAAATGTTCAAGTTCATAAACTCTCACCAAGTCTTTAAGTTACTTTACCAGACAGCTGAAACTAATATTATAAAACAGTGTTTCTGATATTCATAAAAAGGTTTTTTTCCACATCCTATTTACATTTCATTCTCCAGAGACATTGATAGAATGTGTTAGTATCACTGCAATGTTGACCTAACTGGCATGGAATAGAACTGAAAGCCTGTAACCATCAGGCTCACAGCTGAGACAATAAGTGGGTTTCAATGACCACTATTGTCATGGAAAAAGAAAAATGCACAGATTTCTGTCAGTTAGGAGAAAACCATAGCCCTGAGTGCTGAGGTAACTGTTCTGAGAGTAGACAAAATGATAGAAGGTTACTGACACACTGTGGAAATATGTAAGCCTGGGTTTCTTTAATGTATACAAGCCATCTATTAGAAAAAGCAGAAGTCTTTGCATATCTGTGAGATGAGGAAGTGGAAGCTCTGAAATCTGGTTAAGAGCAGAAGGCAGACTCTCAAAGAACATGTCATACTTTTGCCTGTGTATCTAAGCTCAAAGCAGTCAGTACCACAGGGTTATCACACTGGTCCAGGCCTTAAAACTTGTTCCAGATTCAAAACCCACATTCAATGCCTAGAAACCACCCTATGATAGTAACCTCTGGACTAGAAAGCAAAACATTTTCGAAGTCATAAAAAGAAAATACATTTTCACAAATGGAATTACTTCAAATATCAAGAATGACCAAAGATTTTGAAATGTAATTCAAGTTAAAAATAATAACAATTTAAAAATTTCTTTAGAATGAAGTCAGAATCAGGACTTGTAGTTCATTACCAGCCCCCCTTAAATAAGAGGAGCTAGGAACTGCACTACATAGGACCTTGGAGCACATCACTTAGCATAGTTACCCCCAGCAGGTGAAAAGTCATCATCATTGGCTGTTTGAACACATTTTAAGAGGGTAATTTTCAGAGAAATGTGTCTAAAATAATGAACTGAATTATGAGAAGGGATAATGCTTAGCTTTTAAATAAAAAAAAATTAGTGATAAATCATGTTAGAATTATGAGATATGAATCAAGGACTAAGTAATGAATAAAAAAGCAAGATTTCAATACCTTTTTATTTCTGAGGTAGGCTTTCTTGGCTGAGACACGTCCCCGTCTTGCTTCCAGCTGGCGTGCTTTCTGCTGTAGTTTCTGCAGCTCTTCCCTCTGTGCATGCACAGAGGCTGCCATTTCTTCCTTCTCTAGCATGGCCTCCATGCTTTCATAAGTGTCATAGTAAACTACTTCATCTCTCTTTTCTGTGTCAGAACAACAACAAGGGGTCACAGTAAAGCACATGGGTCGTGAGGCCTGACAGAACAGAATTTGGTGCCACCTACTAGCTCTGTGACTTCAAAGCTAATACTTCTTGTGCTTCTCTGTAAAACGGTGGTTAAATGGAAATGCACCTCATAGACTGAATGTATGCAAAATGTGCAGTGTCTGGCTCACAATGAGTGCTCCATAAATCTACACTTCCCTCCCAGCTCAACTCCTGCAAAACTGTGAATTTTTGAAAATACAGGTTTTGACTGAAGTATCCCTTACAAAATCAGAATTTCACAAAGATAACCAAAGCCAACATAGAGTTGCACTGTTCAGTCTACCGAACAACTTGTCTGACTTCAGAGACTTCTTTAAAACATTTCTTTTGTGTCTGGATGTTTTAAAAAGTCTTAGCAAAGAAACATAGCTAGCATCCACATACATTTTCTTCACATATTGAGTCTTCTGTGGACTTACTGTGGGTGCATCATACCTGATATAAGTCTTTTGATACTTTCCAGTTGTGCTGTCAACAGTAACTCTTCACACTTTAAGATTTCAAACTGTACTTCATACAACTGAAGCTGCAGATCATAATAATCGGCTTCTAACTGATCCAATCGAGCTATGGCTTCTGTACCACCCTGTAAACTTTGCATCTGTGATGAAAATAAAAACACTTTAGTTAGTGGAGACAATAAAACAAATAAAGGCATAACTAGAAATCAGTTCTAGTGATGAACAGGATAAATTCACAACACATTCACTCTAAGAAAGAAACTTATATGTAAGAAATTCAGAGTTTTGTGCAAGGTGTGGTGGTGCAAGCCTTTAGTCCCAGCTCCTTGGGAAGCTGGGGCAGGGGGATAGCTTGAACCAGGAGTTCCAGGCCAGCGTGGGCAACATAGGGAGACTCCCACCTCAAAGAGGGCAGGGGCTGTGGTGTAACTCAATGGTAGAATGTATGCCTAGCATATGTGAGGCCCTATATTTATAGCCAGTGCTATAAATGGAGGAGGGGTCCCCCTGACTGATCAATCCAGACTTTAAAAAATATGAATATATGAAACTACTGATAATCAAGTTAGAGCGTATGGTTTTAGAAGAAGGCAAACATGGTAAAAATAAGTTTCTATCACAGCTCATTACCTTATTTAGGATGATACACTGTTTTGAAATAAATGTTAATAGTATCCCTTCTTAATCTTGAAAGTAGATGCTAATTTATGCAGTTAGCCTTTTCATATAAAATATATGAAAAAGGCTAGACCATGCATAGATATTTACAACAGAGTGGTAAAAGTTGACTGATCCACATATCTGGGACTTTGCTTTGTCCCATGGTCACAGCCTAGCTTCTGAGACCTATAGGCTGGAGAGTAAAGTGAGAGCACATGAGTGGAACAACATCAAATAACTGCTTAGATACTTTAGATTAAAAAATTATTGTTATGTATGGATAACGATCGGTATTGTTTTTAAGTAAATGCAGTCAGGGTCATAGACTCAACCTAAAATGGGATTCAGAAATTTCTGAGCATGGCTCATGGTGAATATTCTTACATGAGGTTTGTTTGTTTGGCTGGTTTTTTGGCCCAAGAGAGGGGAATTAATTAATTAACTTACTTACTTACTTATTTATTTTTTTATTTTAAAAAATCAGGCACCAGAAGGAAACCACTAAGGGGAAAGCATTCTTCAGATACTGGTTCCTGACCCTATTATCTCCACAAATTCCTATTTAGCTATATGGAGAAGGCAGTTACAAGACAAAGCTGAAAAGGATGGCTTTTTAAGGAGTCTGTGAGATATAAAATATACCACATTTCTGATTGTGAGACAGTAAGCATTTTTTCAAGAATATTTCTTTTAGAACCAGAGCAACAAGCTTTGGCAGCTTAAGGTTCATTCTTAGAAGTCCCAAGAGGCCTCTGGTATAGGCATCATTATGCCCTGGAGGTATTGGCAGCATTGGTAAAGAGGCCCTGGTTTCAAATGGCAGGGAATAACTACCAAAAGCAGAGTGAGAAAAATAGAAAAGAATATTAGAGAAATGTCTACAAATTTGCATGAGCCCCAGAATACCAGGGAAATGCCTCTATCACAGCATAAGCTAGCAAGGACAGTGAAGTTTGTTGCTGATAAATGATCTCTTCTGTCTGGAAAAGTTGTTACAAACATGTTAGCACATAATGAGAGTATGTTGAAGATTCCAGCTTTTGTTTTACATTGTAGATATCCACACAGACATACCCAATGACTAGACTTTTATTTTTATTTTTTGGAGGGGGTGGGTATTGAGTATTAAACTCAGTATTGCTCTACCAGTGAGCTTCAACATCCCAACCTTAAAAAAAATTTTTTTTGGGGAGAAGGACAGGGTCTAGCTAAGTTGCCCAGGCTGACCACAACTTGTGATCCTCCTGCCTCAGCCTCCAAAGTCACTAGGACAATAGACATGCTCTACTATGCCTAGTTTCACAAGAATTTTTAAGTGAAAAGCAATATTTAAGTTATAGCCTAAATGTACAGTAGTATATATTTAAAATAATCAGTTAATTTATATCTATTATTTAATAAATTTTATAAATACTTTAGATAACATTATCTAAACTATTAAGTCAGTGAATGATCCTACTTGAATAGGAAATATTTTATAAGTGACAAAAATAAATAACAAACCCAAAGTGGTTTTAATTATAGTGGCTAGGCAAGGAATGTTGACGATATGAAACCCTGTCATTTTCTTCTAAATTATAAAATAGGAACCTAGGCTCAGTTTATGCCTTAAGACTCGTAGACTGACTTTAAATAACACATCCCTTCATACTATTTTGGGGCTCCTGTCAGGATGTAGATTCCTCTATTACTCCACCCCACACTCTATTAACACAGCAGGCAAACAGGATAACTACCTACCTTTTAAAATAAATTTTAGTAGATGGACCCAATACCTTTATTTTACTTGTTTTTACATGGTGCTGAGAATTGAACCCAATGCCTCATACGTGGGGGGCAAGTGCTCTACCACTGAGCCCCAGCCCCAGCACCAAAGCTATATAAACTTAAATATACAACAGCTTCTACCAATAATAGCTGCACAAACAGGAATGATACAAATTGACAGAATTATCTCAAATTCCACATATGAGAAATCTTGGGAAAATGAAAGTGTCTGTAATTACACTGATGTCAAACCTAATGTTACAGACTATTTGTAGGAAAATGTATTGTATTTGATATAACTGTATACTTCATTACTGGAATAACTGTCTTAAAGTTATTTGTTCTAATATTACTTTTCTAAAAATTCTATAACATATATTGGCCTCTGGAATTTAGATAATGGTTTATGTTCCTAGAACATACAAGGTTATGTTTTGAGAACAAATTCAAAACATTGAGGACAGGGCCTAAGACATTAAAAATTTTCTACTTACATTCTTTTTGTATCTAATGCCAAAATACAATTTAGGTGGAAGAAATGTTATTTAAGTAATATAAATTGAAATATTTAGAGTGGAATCTAGATTTGTGTGCTTCAAGTCTGAAATTTCTAGTGTGTAGATATGGAATAAATTACTGATAAATAAGTTAAAAATAAACAAGTCTCCTGCCTGGGTAAGGACCTCAGTTTCCTCACCTCTGCTCAGGCTGCATCCACCTTATCAGAACTTAATAAGGCTCATATGAAAACGCCACACCATTTTTCAATGGAATCCTTTGCCACTGAACCCTGAAGTATCTGTTATAGCAAATAAGAGATACTTTTGAAGCAGGGGAATTACATCTTTCTCTTCTTTATATTTTCCTTCACAAAATATTTAGTACTATTCCAAAATTAAAGTAATATTAACTTGTATTTATTGAGTTCTTACTCCGTGTCAGGCACTATGCTAAAGGCTTTATATATATTAACCCATGTAATCATAACAGAGAAGGTATATATTTATGTACATTTAATATAGAGGTTAAGGAATTCAATCAAAAGTTACATAAAGAGTAAGCTTGCAGAATTAGGACCTACAGAGTTGTTTTGCTCAATATGGTAGCCACTGGCCTCATGCGAGGTTGTTTAAAATTCTCCTCCTCTGTTCATAGACCTCATATCAAGAGTTCATTTTGCCAAATGTGTCTAAAAACTGCCCTACTGGAAGTGTAGTATAGAATATTTCCTTCATTGCAGGGCATTCTGTAGCACTGCCTAAATCTAAGCTCATGCCTATAATAAGCGTTTAATATTTCACAAAATAAAATTGAAATGGGGACTATAAATTGAATTAATCATAATTTAGCTATATGCTTTTAAGAAGAGAAGATTATGAAATACAGGAGTTCGCTTCAGGATTGGTATACTATAATCCACTCCATGTGTTGATTGTTCACAGAAATGATCTCAAGGACTTGCAAAAGGAGAAGCAGTGGTTAAAAATCATCTGCCAATGAAACAAAGTACAGTGGTACATTTTTAAAGCTTTTTAACTGGAACAGTGGAATCCCTTTTCTGTTGTTCTTTATTAATCTTTTTTGTTAACCAAAATTGAGAAATCTACCAGCTAAGTGAGATAAACTGCTTTCTATGGTTGTTTACTGATAACATCTTAATTTTAGCACCTTCTATTCCAAATTAATGAGAAATGAATACCTAATTTCAACATTAATATTCATCTTAACACTTCTAATGTATATGTTACTCCCATCATGCAATTTTATGTATTTTAATTTGGTCTGCTAGTTTAAATAAAAAAAGCATACTATATATGATGTAACCTGGATTAATAATACAAATCTGAAAGTAAAGATGTTACATAGTTAAATTATACTATTATTTTTTTTATTGTTGGTCGTTTAAAACATTACATAGTTCTTAATACATCATATTTCACAGTTTGATTCAAGCGGGTTATGAACTCCCAACTTTACCCCGTATACAGATTGCTGTATCACATCAGTTACCCTTCCATTGATTGACATATTGCCTTTCTAGTGTCTGATGTATTCTGCTGTCTGTCCTATTCTCTACTATTATTTTTGAATATGAATGGAGAGAGATTATACAGCTCAAAGACTAGAATAAAGTAGCTACAGCTAATTAAACTCAACCTAGATTCTTTCAAAAGTTTGCACTCAAAAGGCACTAATATTTTCAGTAGATTTGATAGGGCAAATCTGAACATCAAGATCAATCAGGGGCTGGGGTGTGGATCAGTGGTAGATGCTTTACCAGCACACATGAGGCCTCAGATCCAATGCCTTATGTTAGGCAAATGCTCTACCACTGAGCCATAACCCCAGCCAACATTCAAATTATGAAAGGGACAGGAATCCATGAACTTTGAAAAAAAAAAAAAAAGTAAGACTGACTGTTTTCAGATTCTGAAACAAAGGGAGACACAATTGAAAGGAAGTACTTACTTTGTTTTTCAGTTCTGGGTATTGAACCCAGGGATCTGAGCATGCCAGGCAAGTGTTCTACCACTGAGATACATCCCTAACCTTTACTAATTTGAGAAAGCCCTTATTAAATTGTCAAGACTGACCTTGAACTTGTGATTCTCTTACTTCGCCTCTGGAGAACCTGAGGTTACAGCATTGTGCCATTGGGCCAGGTTGTACTTACTCTTTAACTCTATTAAAATAATTTAAAGTCAAATAGATT